AAAAGAGAAGTTCAGAATCTCTGAAGAAGTCCTCCGAGTCCGGCATTGCGACATCGCCGGTTATCCATTTGACCTGTCAAGAAGAAGTGATCTACCAGTAGAGTGCTCCGCCGTGCCGGCGTCTATCTCTCACGTTTTATACTTAACCCCTTCCTTTCTCTGTACCCCCGCCGCCCTCGCTCCTCTCCTCTCCCCTCTCCGTCAATCCTTCAAAATGCTGTTCCAGGGTATCGGCAAGCTCTTTCTCAACATCCGTATCTTCGTCTGGGACGCATGGCTGACCTTGCTCAACTTGGTCTTGCCCTCACTTCCACGGCCTGCACGTACCGAAGGAGAGTCTCGGTGGCCGGCATACGTACCGCCGGGCGAGGGCGACAGCCGCTGCGCGTGTCCCGCTCTCAACGCAATGGCGAATCACGGAATCCTGCCGCATGGTACGTGCGGGGTCTTAGCTTTCTTGGTCGCTTATGGCTGACGAGCGTTAGACGGCCGTAACATCAAGTTCACAGACATGACGCTGCGGTGTCATGAGACGTACAACTTTGCGATGACCTTCTCGAGTTTTACGGTACACAGCGGGTCGGACATGCTGAAGAGGGATTATAACAAGGTGCGTTGAATTTTGTCCACTAGGGATAGATATCACTAACCCACTGGCCAGGATACGCTCGACTTGGCCGAGCTCGACAAGCACAACGAGATCGAGCACGACTCGTCCTTGCTTCGTGCGTTTCGTTTTCCCGTTCTTCCGCTGGCAGTTTGTTGACCGGAGAGCAACAGGCCAAGACACGTACTTCGAGTCAGACCAATCAAAGCCGCATATCCCATTCATCAACGAGTTGCTTTCCCTTGCATCGGGGAAAGATTCCACCGGCAAACCCGTCCTCACCGCGGCGGACTTGTCCAAGTTTTCGAGTAAACGCCGCAGCGACTCTCGCACCCGGAACCCCGAGTTCATGCTTGACAAAACGCACAAGATCTTCGGAAGCGCCAAGTGAGCAGTTTTCTTTTCGCATAGTTCTTGCGCAGAGCTGAAGGTTCTTTCAAGTACGTCGACGTTGCTAGCGATATTCGGTGGCCAGGTGGACGACCTTGAGGTGTTCTTGAAGGAAGAGAGGTTACCGGATAATTGGGAGTCGAAGAATCGCTCCCGCAAGGGGGTGACGTTCTTTGCGTTTAACCGGACGACGGCCAAGGTGGAGAGGGGGATTGACGAGGAGAAGTACCGGAAGGAGGAGGAGGAGAAGGAAAAGGACGCAAAAGCCGAAGCGGTATGAGACTCGGGAAACTCTATATGCCTGGATTCGTGTACATGGAAAGCACTGCTCGTTCCACATCACGATGGTGGTGGGAACCAAGAGACGATAATTCGTGACCGTGACTGCATTGCTTTTCTCTTCGTGCCGCCATCTCCGAGTCAACACATCGACTGGCAGCAACCCTCCGTCGCAAGTGCACAAATCACACTCCATTATTGCAAAGTACACAAATCATACCAAAAAACGCACGGCTTGAAAGGAAGCTTTACATTCCGGGTCTACGCCGATGCCGCGACCAATCCGCTGGCACGACCCCACTTTCCCAACAATGACGATGTCCGGCGGTGATGTTGCTTCATCATGATGACCTGTGCCTTCTCCTCCGTTGTACTTTCGTGGAACTGCGAGATGGACCCCGTAGCGGGACCCTGGGGCTTAGAAAAGCTGCGGGTGCGTGCGACGCCAACTGCGACTGCTGCCGGGATTCCAGTGGTGACTGTTTTGATCGTTCGCAGGGCTCCGGCGCCAATACCACCGTACCAGGATGTGGTGCGTGTATGCGAGCGATTGCCTTGTTTCCGTGTCAGTAAGACTGATACCAAGGACAGCCAAATTACGCACCCTTCACCTCTATAGGGTCAGCCAGCCCCTCGCTTTCGAGATCCTCAGCGATGCCATCCTGCGATAACACCAAACTCGTGAGCACCTCTACGATGCGAAGAACAACCAGGATAACTCACAGGTCTACTCCCAGCAAGCACCTCCTTCTGGAGCCCCAGCGCCTCCTTGGTCGCCTCATCGAGACTCGAGGTACCACTCGTGTTGCTGGCACCCGAACACCCGCGTGAGCGCCGGCGCAGCTCACCAGAAGCAGTGGAGTAGCGCGAGGAGGTAGATGCGCATGCGGAGAACGACGACGAGGACATGTTTGCGGATAGGGTGAGATGAGAGTGTGGGCGACTGAGAGCGGGTGAGTGTGGGCCTTATATCACTCACGGAAAAGCTGAGACTCTCGACCGGAACCCAGGGTGGTACCCGGATAGCAACACCGCAATGTCTCGCCGCGGAATGGGCTATGTTGCAGTCTCATGCATTTCAAAGACAATAGCCGTGCGCGTCTTATTTCTTCTCCCATTGTCGGCCGGTCGTGATACTTAGCAGATAACAGTCCATCCGGTTCGCAATCTACATCTAGAAAACAGCAACAGGGACCCGTGCTGCGGGTTGCTCCTGTACGGTCTGAGTCCGCGGAAGCGATCAAAGTCACTCCACAAAACCGCCTCCCCCCTGACATGGTGGATTAGATCGAGGACGAGCCGAGCCCGACTGTGGCGGTTTACGGTATGTTTTCAAAAGTCGGGCTAGATGGTGGATGTTACACTTTGTTGCCACAATCCGGCTCCATGCGTTGGGCTAGCTGCGTGCTGGGTCGCGGTACTCGCGGATTACGATTGCGGTAGAAGACCGGTGAGGTCAACGGCCTTGTCATTTGGTATTTTCGTGGATGGCTAGCTGATATTTCGCAGTGAAAGTCTCTCTATCCCACAGACTGACGCCCCAGGGAACCCTAATTCTCCCGTGGCTGCTCGCTCGGTGGAAATCTGACCGTTTTACTGTTTCGCTTCAAGACGCCTTTCCGTGAAACCTGCCATTTGAAGCGAACAGCGCGGCCAGACTAAATGCATCGAGTCCCCTGCTCTATTCCGCATAATCATCGACTCCCCCTCGCCCTGCCCGCTGCCGTCCAAATCGCCTTTAAATAGGTCGAATGTCCCTCTGCTTCCTCGCACCCATCCCACCCCGCTTGTCTTGTCAAGTCCACAACACGACTCGATGATCAAGCTCCTTTTCAACCTCTACATCCTCACCTGGGACGCCTGGCTCACCCTCCTCAACTTCCTCACACCGAAGCGTAGGCTCGGGAACGTTGTGCGCCCCGGGGCGTCGGGAGCGGGTGGAGAGTGGCCGGAGTACGTGGCGCCGAAGGAAGGCGATAGTCGAAGCTGCTGCCCCGGGCTGAATGCAATGGCCAACCATGGTGCGTGCATGTTGCCGCGATGCAAACCTCTTTCCTGCCTAACGAGGGCTTGCACGATTCCAAGGCATCCTTCCCCACGACGGACGAAATATCAGCTTTCGGGATCTGAGCGAAAAGATGCGCGCAACGTACAACCTCGCTCCGACGTTCTGTCGTTTTGTACCTCAGTCTGCCGCCGATATTCTCCACAAGGACTTTCACAAGGTGCTACTACTCCGAGACTTGTCTTTATTGCATGAGGTAGCTCACACAGCTTAGGATACGCTCGACCTCGCGGACCTCAACCTTCACAACGGCATCGAACACGACGCTTCTCTCACCCGTACGTCAATCTATCCGCTTCCTCACCCCTTCTCACAAAAGCTCCAGGCGAAGACCATAAATTCGACCCCGACCAGGACAAGCCTTATCTCCCGTTCATCAACGAGCTACTAGCCTCTGCCTCCGGGACAGACTCCGCCGGCACTAGCAACAGTCTTCTGACCCTCTCCGATCTGCAACGCTACTCCGCCAAACGCCGCGTCGAAGCGCGCGCGAAGAACCCGGATTTCTCGTTAGCGAAGGCCCATAAGGTGTTTGGGAGCGGCAAGTGCGTGTCGATTTCATTTCCTCGGCCAGGGACACGCTAACGCCGATCGCTACAGCTCGTCCACCCTCCGGACGGTCTTCGGCGGACACGTTGACGATCTTTCGATTATCCTCTGCGAAGAACGTCTCCCTCACGGGTGGGAGCCGCATGTGCGCCAACGAATGGGGTACACGTTGATCAATTTCAACTGGGCGATCTTCAAGTTGGAGAAGGGCATCCATAAGTACGAGGCGGAATTTGTCGATACGCATGGGCACCGTGAGCAGGTCGTGGAAGAGGCCAGCACGAAGACCGCAGATGTGTTAGTGTAGATTGAGGAATTCGCGAGTTGGCAATGCACGACACTTGGAAGGACCATGCTTGCTTGATATTTTCCTTGTGCTTTTGCATCTAGATAGAGATATGAGCGAAGCGGAAATGAAGGCGCAATAGCGGTAATATCTAGGATTGAAAATTCAACCCAAGTAAAAACACATGCGATTTGAAGACCCCCGGGCCGAATCGAACGGGCCAATCCGCACACGAACATGAAGAGATCGATATCACTTGTAGCGGGTGTGCACAGCAGCACTGGAGGGTTGAATTATTTGGGTTGAACACCCTCTATATGGATGTCGAATCGGACATTAATCAATGCGTGGGAGAGACTCACCGGATGTACTTATCTGGAAGCATTTTTCAAGACCGTCCCACTGGCAACGCGCCCGCTCTCGGAGCGTTCCGTTGAGTCCTCATGGCGCTGCAGCTGCTTTTCCATTCGAAAATCCATACATAATAAACACCCAGATTGTCTGCGCTCTAGCAAGCTCATCTCTCAATCGTTTGGCATCTACGATAGGTCGATCGGGAAGCGCCAAACGTTTCAATTCTATAGAGCTCTACGATCCGCCGTTCGTACGCGTTCCAGAGGTTGTTGGTGTTGGGGAACTGCTTGCTGAAGACCATGACCCAGAAGATGGCTTTTATTGGGTGAACAAGGGGTATGGAGGTGGAGATCCTCCTGTTGCTCAGTTGCTGACAATGGTAGATGGTACTTTGCTCCATAGGACCAACTCAGCATGTATGCTGTGCGGCAGGCTCCCAAACGGAGCACACCTCGCCGCTATCAAAAAGCAGGTGCTTAGTGCAGTAGTCTAGCACGCCAGCCCAAGAAACTTACGAGATCTGCGTTCGATTCCCAGAGCAGCCATTTTCGTGTCGCCGTGTCACCCTTTAGCAAAATGAATAAACCTATTTTAAGAATATGGTCAGACCAGAGATGATCTTTATAGGATCATCCTCTGGTCTGACTATTTTTATTTATTTTCGTACAACTTGTTTATTTATTTGCGTACATGTTGAGTTGGACCTAGGGATCAAAGCACCATCTACCATTGTCAGCAACAGGAGGATATAAGTACCCCTTGTTCACACATTGGAAGTCCGAGTTCGTGGGCATTCCGATGTCATGCTTTACGACTCGGCGCGATTCCGGGTGGACTGCTTCGGCATTTGGGGGTTTGTCGTTTTTCGAACATTATTTTGCCTCCAAGATCATTCGCGCACGGTCTCAGTAGCATGAAAGTAGACAAAAAATTGTTACCGAGGAATGGTTCTGTAAGGTCCCCTGCCGAATCGAACGGACCGTTCCGCGAGAAAGGCTCACCAATGTACAAGCCCAGCGGATGGGGCAGCACGGCGCTGCGAGTGGAGATTCATAATGTCGAGGTCAGTGTTACTAGCAGTCAATCAGCCGCGAGACTGAGCGAGTAGGAGGGTTGCAGAAAGTGCGAATTTAAACTTGCGACGGAGTCAGGAATGTCGACTCTTGCAAGTCATTGAACACTGAGGGTACCAGTCGATATGGTACAGTATGAGCTATGAGTATCGCTCAGGCTGCTTCAGTGAAAATTGATGGCAGGTTGTCAGGTTGTCGTTGTTTGAATCAGGGGCCGACGACCTGCAAACAAATTCTTTGTCATCCACCATCATGCTCTCTGCCAACGACCTCCTCCTGGACCTTGCCTGGACCTTTCCTCAGGAACGCCGACGATCCTCTGAGCAAAGGAAACGCCGACGAGTCCCCATTTAGGTGAGCAACGGCCGCCAATCAATGGTGTGTGCGGGAGAGCGGGCGTCTCCGTTCCATTGCCTGCAACCCGCCGGGCCGGACCAGCTTTCAACTCTCAGGCACGCCGTCTGTACGCCCGCGGGCCGGCCTTTCCGCTGCCGACAATGCCCCGATGCAGGTCAGCCGACATGATGGGCGCGGTCAGGCGTGGAACCCCACTTTTTATTAAAAAACGCCGCCCGCTTCTTCTGCTTCTTCGTCCTCCGCCCTCTTAGCGCTAATGGCCTCCAGCGAAGACCCCACATCTGGCGTTCTGCACACCCATGCTGACCGGCTGGCACACGACATCGACAACTACGCCGAGGTCGTGAGGGGTGCAGCCCAGAATGACGCAGCAGAGCACAAGATGAGCATGCGCGAGGCCTTTCGCATCCACAAGAAGGCCGTCTTTTGGAGTGTGGTCTTGAGCGCGGCGTTGATCATGGAGGGGTATGATGTCGTTGTCGTGCGTTGTCTCTTTCTCTGTTCTCTGCATGAAAGCTGAGGGTTGCATGTAGATTGCCTCGTTCTATGAACACCCTGCGTTCCTGAAACGCTTTGGTATCGTCAACCCGGCTACTGGGACCAAGCTCATTCCTGCGCCGTGGCAATCCGGGTTGGGCAACGGGTCCTCCGTGGGCGGTATCATTGGACTCATGATCAACGGCTGGGCGAGCGAGCGGTTTGGCCCGCGACGCACCTACATCTTCTCGATGTTCGGCATGATTATCAGTATCTTCGGGCCTGTGTTCAGCCAGTCCTTGGCTGCCCTGACCGCCAGCGAGATTGTTTGTGGACTTTTTTGGGGAGGTGCGTTCTACTCGTTCTCGTTCTTCTTTCCTTACACTCATCCGGATGACAGTCTTCCAAACCCTCACGACCGCATACGCCTCTGAAGTCTGCCCTATCGTCCTGCGACACTACCTCACTGCATACATCAACATGTGCTGGGGTATCGGCATCTTCCTTTCCTCCGGCGTCGTGCGCGCGACTATTACGATCAACTCTGACTGGGGCTGGCGTCTGCCGTTTGTTATTCAATGGGTGTGGCCCATCCCGTTGATAATTGGCGCCTATTACGCTCCCGAGTCGCCATGGTGGTTGGTTCGACAGGGTGCGTTCTGTGTCTTTCTGTTGGCGACCACTAACGGATTGTTTGTTTGTTTGTTTTCAGGCCGCCACGACGACGCCGAACGTTCCGTCCGCCGGCTCACCAACCCCGAGCTCTTCTCGGAGGAAGAAGCCAAACGCTCCGTCGCGAACATGATCCACACCACCGCCATCGAGCGCGAGCTACAGGCAGGCACATCGTATCTGCAGTGCTTCACCGGCATCGACTTGCGGCGGACGGAGATCGCGATGATGGTGTTTGCCATTCAGCTGTTGAGTGGGGAGAACTTGATTGGCCAGGGCGTCCAATTGTGCGTTTTCTCTTTCTTTCTGGCTATGCGTGGCTGATGCAAACGTAGCTTCGTGCAAGCTGGGCTCGGGCAAACAGCCGCCTTCGACGTCAACCTCGCACTCAACTCGATGTTCATCATCGGCACCGTCGCCTCGTGGTTCCTCCTCTACCGCTTCGGCCGACGCACGCTCTACATCGCGGGACTCGTCGCCATGGCCATCGTCCTCGCCATCATCGGTGCACTCGGCTTCCACCCGTCCCCCGGCGCCAAATGGGCCTCGGGCGGGCTGCTCGTCGCCCTCAACTTCACCTACAACGCGACCCTCGGCGCAGTCTGCTACGTGCTCATCGCCGAGGTCGGCTCCACCCGTCTCCGCGCAAAGACCATCGTCCTTGCCCGGTGTGCCTACCAGATCATGAATATCATTTGCGGGATCATCGTACCGAGGATGTTGAGCCCCACCGCGTGGAACTGGGGCCCCAAGAGCGGGATATTCTGGTTTGTGTTCGCGTCGCTCAGTGCGATATATTGTTGGGTCCGCTTGCCTGAGAGTGCGTTTCATTCCATTCCATTCTTGTTCCTGCCTGCTTGCGCGTTACTGACATAAGCCTAGCGATGGGCCGCTCCTACGGCGAGTTAGACATCCTCTTCGAGAACAAAGTCCCTGCATGGAGGTTCAAGAACACCAAGGTCGACCGTACGTTTTTTGTTTTTCCTTCCCTTCTGTACCGTCAGCTCACCGATACCAATACCGCAGAATTCGGCTTGACGAACGGCACGTCCACGCCCGTCGACGAAAAGGGGAGCGCGAGCCACGAGAAGTAGTGTTACGGAGTTGGGATTTGCCTTTAGTTTTACTACGAATACGTACGTGTACATATTATCATAGCTAGTTAGTCACTGCGTTCCGCCCCCTGTTAGCCCAAATTCCAGCCAGCCGTGGCTAGCGACGGCTAAAGCCGTCGACGGCTGGCCAGCGATCAACACCGGGGCTGTGTATCGGCAAAGCCACCTCTACACCGCTTTCGCTGGCGACAGGTGGCCAGAACCGGCCTGTCCGGCCGACAACGACGATGCCAGCAGCAGCTCTCGCCACTCACACAATTCGGACAACTCTCCCCGTCCCAAGAAGCGACTGCGAATGGAGGAAACAGCGGAGGATGGGCGCGATGAGCCTATGGACCAGGTAAATATGGAAATTGTGCATATTTCACCTCAATACATCTATTTCACTCTTCTTACGTTGTCCTGTGTGAATCAGCCCCCTCCGCCCGCTTACGATGCTCCCCATTCCGACTCGGAGGATGACGAAGATGTCCCGGACGCTGGTAGTCTTGCGCACGAAGAACCTGATGACCCCGATTCCGACGACACTCCTTCTGATGCACCAGACGACGACGACGAGCATGCATTTGACTTTGAGCCTCGACTCGAGGATCTGCAGCGTACTGTGGCATTCCAGCGAGAGATCGCTGCTGCAACCCTCGACAATGGTGGGATGTCTCCCGACGAAATTGAGCTGCTCCGACACCCTCCCCACGACATTCCCAGCATCGATGACCCCAATCTCCGCCACTCTCTTGATCTCTACCTGGCCACCACGCGAGCCTCTCGACAGGCATATGACGACTGTCGCGCTGCTGCCGAGCGACACCACCCCGAAGACAAACTCCTGTCGTACTACCAAATCAAGCGAAGGGTTGCCGAAATGAGTGGTATCTCTCCCATCGTTCATGACATGTGTCCGAACTCTTGCATGGCGTATACGGGACCTCTGGCAGAGCTTGAGAAGTGTGTCGAGTGTGGAACTCCACGGTACGAGAAAGGTTGCGCTGCGCGCCAGTTCTACACCTTCCCGCTCGGACCGCAACTGCAGGCGCTGTTCCGACACGAGGACACCGCCAATGAGATGGGCTATCGGTGGGAGGAGACGCAGCGGATACTGAAGGAGCTACAGGACAATGGTGGAAAGCTCCAGGTAACTTCTTCGAGTCGTATTTTGAGTATTTATTCATCGTCGTCGACAGAACTACACGGATGTCTTCTGCGGCGAAGACTACCTTAATGCAGTGCGGAATGGCCATGTTACGGCAAACGATATCGTCATTTTCGGTTCGACGGACGGTGCCCAGCTCTATCGCAACAAGGCATCCGACTGCTGGATAGGGATCTGGGTCGTGGCCGACCTCCGCCCGCAACTTCGATACAAGAACATACATATACTGCAGCGCTTCATCGTCGGCGGCCCCAATAAACCGAAAATCATGGAATCCTTTTCCTTCCCCTCCTTCCACCATCTCTCGGCTCTTCAGAAAGAAGGTCTCTGTATCTGGGACTGCCGAAAGAACAAAGAATTTATTTCTCGCATCTTGCTGATGTTTGAGAAAGGCGACACGCCTATGCTCGCTTCGGTGGGCGGAGCCGTTGGACACACCGGCTTTTACGGCTGTCGTAGAGTGTGTCCAATGCCCGGTCGACATAAACCCGATGGTACTACCAATTATCCGGCGATGCTTAAACCGGATTACTACTATGTAGTCGGCTGCGACCATGCCGATATCAAGCCCGTCGACCTCAAGAACGGCAGCGAGGAGCGATACAAACGCAACCTCGAGTTTCTCCTCGCCTCCACCACCACCGCCCAATATAACACACGCCGTCGCAACACGGGCATCTCCAAACCGTCTCTCATCTCTG